AGAACCTGTGAACTCCAGGTTCTGGTTCCTACCAATGATCCACATCAACATTTAGTCTAAACATGTAAAAGCAGAACCTTGACTGGTCCAACTTCACCACATCAGGTTCTGCTGATGTTAGAACCTCAACAGGTGGTGAAATGTGACCAGAGACTGGGTTCTAGTAGAACCATGGATCCATCCACAGACAGACACTGACAGGAACTTTCTGGATCAATAATGAAACTGTGTCCTGATGGATCCGTTCAGTGGTTCTGATGGAACTGTTCTGTCTGAGTCTCTACACTTTTGCTCCTGGAGGTGCCGGACCTGGAGGTTCCGGACCTGGACCTGGACTCTCAGGTTTTATACGTTCTCGGGTCTGAAAACATAAATTCAGCCAGATTACTTTCCAGAACTCATTTTTTAAACTCCGAGGCGGTCCAGAATCAAACTGAGTTCCTGTCCACTGGTTCTGGTCTCAGAGGTTCTGGACGGCCTGTTCCGGCTCTGCTGCTCTCTAACGGGGCCTTGTGGACTGGGAACAGGCTGAGCCGGTTCTGGTTGCCGGGGTACCGGCTGTTAGGTGCTACAATGAACATGCTAGCTGCTGTTAGCTGTCAGAACCAGCTCCACGGGTACTGACGGGTCCGGTTCGCTGGGAGTCCGGGTCCCGGTGCTGGTTCTGGGCTGGACACGGTTCTGGCTGAGCTACGGTCGGAGGAGCGGACTGAGCGGGGTCCGGCTGTGGAGGGTTCTGGTTCTGGTTCTGGTCCCAGCAGGGGGACGGATAACGGGGACACCGGAGTCCAACAGCGGGACAACTGAGACTTCAGCCGCAAAAACCTGCGTTTGTTCCGCAGATGTAAACATCAGCGCAAACGTTTGTGCGCCGCGACGAAGGAAACGAGCTTCCAGACAGAACCCGAACCCACACAGGGGCCCACGGAACCACAAACACCTGAAACTGGATCCATCTCAGCGCTGCTTACCTTTAACAAATTAGACGTCGCCATGTTTCCTCAACTTCACATCTCGCAGAATCTCGCGAGAACAGCTGCCGGCTCATGATGAGGTCACGTTAACTGGAGTTTACTGCTTAGAACAGAAATAAAGGAAAACATGGAAGAGTTGATTTAGTGGACGGAACCGGGTCTGTGAGGGATAATACAGAACCAGAACCGGGTCTGTGAGGGATAATACAGAACCAGAACCGGGTCTGTGAGGGACAATACAGACACAGAACCGGGTCTGTGAGGGA